GCAAAAGAAAGAATTTGGAAACAAACACCCTTTGTATCATTACACAAAGAAATAACAAAATAAACAAGTGATCATTAAACAATGAAATCGATCTCAGAAAAACTCAGAATAAATTTCTTCAAGACTCTTATACACTGATAAGCTTACAATAAAACAGAAAAGACTAAAATAAAACCAAGAATCTGATAGACTGTCTTCTCTTTAACTTAATATTTATTATCATCTCATAAACTCTTTCAATTAAAACCTTCTTATCCTTAAAGAAAAACAACTAAACTTTGTTAATTAAACAAACTTAACCTTTGAAAAACTTAAAATAATTTTTGAATTAAACATTACTTAAACTTAACATATAAAATATTGGTAAAAAATCTCTAAATTATATTAACTTTATGAAATCTATATATATATCAAATTAACAATATATAAATCCATTATCGATTAAACACTTATAAACTTAGCTTTTTCAGGGCCCAAACTAAGATAAACTTAAAGTTATATACTCTAATTAAACAATACTTAACTTAAACTTAAACTATATATAAAATTCAATTCTATTATTAATAGAATGCTAAAATACAACTTAAACCTTAACATAATAAATTACTAAAGTTTCATGCTATTCAATTTTCTATCTCAATTCTCATTATGATATCTCTTTTCCACATTGTGTTCCATAAACAATATCACACCAGATGGGTGCATCTCCTGATCAATTCTCTCACCTAACTAAGAAATCTGGGGTTAGCGTTTAGAAACATTGGAGAAGTTTGAAGGAGACCCTTATGATTTCAAGTGGCGACTTAGCTGTATCTTATTTTTTGGGTGAATGTTGGAATTCTATCTCATCATTGCTGTGGGACAACACTTGGTACAATAGATGTGCTTACAAAAAGTTGTTTACTTTGGCTGCTGTGGTTTCTGGGCTGTGCCATGTATTTGTTGTTAATGTTTGGATGTGCACTGCAGTGGAAAAAGCCTCGGCATCTGTCACACCGCAGCTCTGCTGTGGAGAGGCAGCGACTAAAGAAATCCCTGCCTTGGTTCTGCCCAGTCCCCGCTTGCACGAGCCTGAGCGGTGTGCAGGGGAGCAGTTCTGGCACAGTCACACCCCGCTTCTGCCCGCATTGGGGTGACTGTGTCTCTCTCCTGCTCTCAGCCCCCGCTCACGCCCAGTGTCGTCTGCACTGGACCCGTGCCTGAAACCTGTCCCTCAGACACTTCTGCGTTCGCTTTAACTTCTGCAAACGCAGTGCGCAGCCTGGATTCACCCGTCTCTGTCTGTGTCGCCATGGGAACGAGAGAAGGAACACCAGCCCCGACTGCACCCCGCCGCGCCGGCCCCGGCCACGGCCGTGAGCTCGGGAATGTCCCCTCTCACGCCCAACTGAACCCGGCACCATTCCAGTCCCGCTCGGGTCGTCCCGCCCGGCCCCGGTGTCTGTCCCCGCTCAGCGTGATTCGGCGCCCTGCTGACGTCATCAGCGCGCGACCGCCGCTCCCCGCCGCCGCCGCGCCCCGCGCCGCGTCCCGCGCTCGGGATTCCCCCCCCGCGCGGTCACCGCGCAGCCTGTGGGCACTTGGCTGGCTGGGGCCGCCGCCACCACTGACGCTGTCAGTGCCTGTGCCGCGCTCGAGATGCGAAAGACCCCGCGCCACGGTTCCATGCACTTCGCTCTCCAATATGTACTTCCGACAATTGATTTACATTCGCAAACCCCGTACTAATTCCTGATAAACTTTCAGTCTAACATTTCTTCTGACAACCGATCTATGTGTAACTGATTCTTGATGCAATAACTATTCTGTTCTGGCCGTGTCTGAAACTCACAGGGGTGGCTGTGGGTTTGTGCTGGCTGTTGCCATGGGAACTGCGACGGACCGTGCCCTGAGTCATCCTGGCCACGCCCCGTCCCTGCCTGTGTCACCCCGGGGGTGAGGACGCTCCTGCTCTGGTCCCGGCCGTGCTTTCGCCTAACTCCGGCTCGCAGCGCCCAGTTCAGAGCCACTGCCATCCCCCCCGGGCTGACGCAATCACCCTCTCTGTTCCCATTTCGGCCCCGATGTCTCCCATCTCGCTTTGCCCCTCTCCTGACTGTTCCAGCACCCACAGCCCGCGCGCACCGGCTCCGCCCCGCCTGCGCCCGCCCCACGCGTTCCAGATGCGAAAATTCCCCTGCACCCGTGGCTCTCGGGCTTTGCTCGACCTTCACGCGCGCCCACCGCCTGAGTTGCAGCGAAGGACGCCTCTCGCTGTCCCTCTGCTATTTCCTCAGCGGGTCTGGCTGCCGCGATCCGGGAGCTGCCCCCTGCCTCTTGGGTGGCCGCTCTTGTGGCTTCACGAATTCTCGACACCAAACGCGCCACGGGACGCTCGGGACGCCTGGCCGCTGCACCCGCGCCCCTGCCGCCCTGTGTCTGCGCTGTTCCTGCTGTCCCCTCTCGCCTGCACCGCAGGCTGTTTTGAACTCCCCGCCCGAGCAGCCACGAGAGATTTCTCCTCTCCCCTCCTCTTCCCTCTCTGCTCTGCACTCACTCTACACCCTCCCCCACGGAGATGCTGCCGCCGCCGCTGCCCCTCCCGCCGCGGGTTTGGACTCAAGCAGCGCTTGGTCCCTTCCCCCACCGGGGGCTGCAGCTGTGCTTGGCTTATCTCTCTGTCTGGGGGATTTGCATTGGAGGAGCTCAGGGATTGAGGTTCGAGGGAAACTGAGAAACAGTGGGAACCCGGACACACAGGGCATGATGACAGACCATCCCCTGATTGTCCATGGAAGGCAGTCCTGCTTCCCCTGGATCTGTGGTGAGGAAAACTGCCCCAAGCTGCTGGCTGGGCAATCTTCCCCCTTTGTGTTTCCATAGGAGCCCCAGCTGTCCAGCTGGACGTGCCGTGCTGTAGAGCTGGCTATAATATTGTCCTTGTTAAAAGCAAAAGTTTTGCAGCAGTCTTATCTTTTTGTCCTTTTGTGGCTCAGTAATAAAGTTACTTATTGATCCTTTGCCAAAAATTCAATCCCAAGAAAAAATATACATCTGTGTGCGAGTGACTACACCGCACCTATAATAACAAAGCTTTCATTTCATTTGGGCTGTCTCTACCTGATGGGTAGAAGTTTCGCCCTATAGGGCTAAAAAAAATCTTTGGTGTGTCCTTGGGAAAAATCTTTCCCTCCCCATGTTCTTAATTTCGACCATTCTCACCAAAAGCTGAGTCAGCATGAAGTCAGTCCGGAGATGGCACTGTCCATCGTCCAGCAGGCCACAGGCGAGGAATACCAGGCGCGCTTCTGGTTTCTCTCCTCCTGGCTGTCCTCCAGACGATTTTTTTTTTTTTAGGTCAGGTTCTTATCTTGAGCCTTCTGTTTTTTTTTTTTTAATTGCGGAGAGTGTGTACTGCTCTTCCTTTTTTTTTTTTT